GGTTTTGTGATAGTCGAAATTATGAATTTGGATACAAGACTTGTGGTATTTTTTGTTATGACTCAAATTAGTTTTAGTTATAAGCTTTGTGGTGTTTGGTTCTGACACTACAACAAAAATCACTTTTCGCGACTAAAATTGCAGTTTTCGTCGCTGAAAGTAGTCCAATTGGCGACTAAAATTGAATTAGTCGCCAAAATTGATCACTTTTGCCGACTAAAAGAGTTTAGTCGCCAAATATAAGGGTTTTAGCAACTAAAAAGTAGTTTAGTCGCCGAATATAGGGGTTTTAGCGACAAAAAATTTTTTAGTAGCCAAAAGTCACAGTTTTTGGCGACTAAAATAATTTAGTAGCCAAAAGTGATGGTTTTGGCGACTAAAAAACAGGTTAGTCGCTGAATGTGCAGGTTTTTGGCTACAAAAAAAAAATTAGTAGCTAAAAACTGACAATTGCCGACTAAAACAGGTTTAGTAGCCAAAAGGTGACATTTTTGGCGACTAAAAACAGATTTAGTCGCCAAAACTGCTTTATTTTTAAATGGAACTTAATTTTTTAGCGACAAAAAATAATTAGTAGCCGATAATTATAGCTTTTTTTTTTTTGACGGAAACACCTTCGGCGACTAAAAAGTTAGTCGCCAAAAGTCTTTATTTTGGCGACTAAACGGTTTAGTCGGCGTTTGATTGAGTATTGGCGACTAAATTATTAGTCGGTAAATGTATGATTTTCAAAAGTGTAAAACACTATTGGCGACTAAATTATTGGTCGCTAAAAGACCTCCTTTTTGCCGACTAAAACAGGTTTAGTCGCCAATACCTCCCGCGACCATTTATTGGCGACAAAGGCAGCGACTAAAAATTTTTGTCGGGGAAACCAAAAACTCGACTTTTAGCGACTAAAAATGGACCTTTGGCGACTAAAAATTTAGTCGCCAAAGGTGATTTTTCTTGTAGTGTGAATTGAAGTGGCCTTAATTATGAAGTAATGTGATAGTTTATAATAAATCAAAATGGTTTTGGTTATGAGATTTTTAGTGTTTTTGTTACAAATCAATTTGGTTTTGTTATGACCCAAATTGGTGAAACTTAGAGTTGTTGTGGTTCAAATTTTAATTATGTGATATGCCATTTTAAAGCGGATATAGATGCACTTTAATAAAGTTTTCTTTCTAAAAATATGGGGTCATTCTATACACACCTGGAAAGGCTTATAATTAAATCATTTTTAATTATAAATAATAACAATAATAATAAATTATAATCAATATCACAATAAGTCATAATTAACCAAAAAAAAAAAAAAACAAAAACAAAAACCACAAAAAACATAATGTAATAAAAAGGCCACCATCAAAATATCACAAACCGATCAAAACAAGAATAAGTTATTCTACTATTGTAATGTTTGTGGTTTTATCGGATGGTGTTTACCTACGAATCTAGAATATGGAGGTCATCAAATTCAAAGAGACTATATCTTAAGAAGTTGTTTGGAATAAACTATATAAGTGTATTTTTTGACCTTTTAGATAAAAAAGTAGAGGGAAAAAATAGGTTGTTTGAGATAACTTTTAGACTTTTTTACAAAAAAAAAAAAAACATATGTAATAAAATATTGTAGATGCAAAGTACATTGACTTGCAACACTGTGCAGGGGTATGCATTTCAATTTTTTATTTTTTTAATAGGAATTGGTGGCTTTCATTGTGCCACGTGGTAAGGACTTGGGAAATGTATATGCAAAGTACACTGAGGTGCACTGTTGGGCTGACTAATTCAAATGGACAAAATTATGCTTTTACCCTCAAGCTTCCATCCCACACTTCTTTCAAATAGTATAGATTTTTTTTTGTAAAAAAATTCCCAATATATAAAAAATAAAAAAATTTCTAATCCCCTCACTATTTTCTAATACCATCTCTACCTCCTCCTTACCAATCCCCCTTCCAAGGGTATTAGCAATACTAAGGGACTAATAGTCCCAATGCTTTCTCTGCAAACAAACAGGGCTTTAGTAATACCTTGGTATTACTAGTCCCAATACCCTCCCTATAGCCCAAAACAAACGGGGCCTTAGGGAAGAAAACTACAATCATAAGCCTTGATTCTGATTTGAACAAATCCCAAGATGAGGGACAACGCCACGTGCTTCCTTCTCATTCCCTTAAATGGATATAAGCAAATATATATTTGTATATTAATATTAATATATTAGATATCAAAAATGCTTCTCACCCCCAGTTTTCCCGACCCTCAGTGACCCTCAGTGAGGTGGCACTCACGTGATTGTCACGTGACTGAAAAATCTATGTATTTGTTAATAGACCCAAACACACCGGTTCACATTTCATTTTGAAATTTTCACCCCTCCCCTTCAAACACGTATATGTCTTCGCTCCAACGGTAACAGTTACTGACTTCCCACTCCGACGCCAGCAACCACTCCTTCCCTTCACTCCGACACCGACAGCTCGTTCCCTAATCTGTCTGTCTCTCTTACCCTCTCATTCGCGAATCTCTCTGTCTCTCCTTTCCTTCACTTCAACTGTATGTATATCTGCGTATATATATATATATATATATCTATCTGTTTCCTGTTCGATGAATTGTGGAATCTCTCTGTCTCTCCTTTCCTTCACTTCAACTGTATGTATATCTGCGTATATATATATATATATATATCTATCTGTTTCCTGTTCGATGAATTGTGGAATCTCTCTGTCTCTCCTTTCCTTCACTTCAACTGTATGTATATCTGCGTATATATATATATATCTATCTATCTATCTATTTCCTGTTCGATGAAAACCTTGATTTGAAATTCCTTTTCATAAATTTTCTTTTCATTTGGGAATTGTGGCATTTTCATTTACGAATTGCGGCCTTTTCATTTGGAGTCTTACACTGCTTTAAACGTGTTCGATGAAATTCTCCAACGAAATGTTTAATCTAATCATTTACCTTTTTGAATTGGTTCAATTTCTCCAGTACAAAATTTCTTGATTAAACATATATAATCAAGAGTGAAAACTTGTTTAATCAATTTCAAGTTTAAAGCACTCTTGATTATAACCAATTGCTTATAATCAATTATGAAAACCAAGATAGATGCAGGTCAATAGGTTTGTAATTGCTTATAAGCAATTATGAAAACTTGAAAATTATAAGCAATTAGTTATAATGAAGAGTGAAAACCAATTCAAATAATTGTACCTCATCACCATGTGTTTGACCTGTAGTAATTTAGCAAACCTGTTGACCTGTATCTATTTTAGCAAACATGTTGACCTGTATTAGCAAACCTGCTGACCTGTATTAGCAATTTAGAAATTTAGCAAACCTGTTGGAATTTTATCTATCTAGCAAACCTGTTGACCTGTATCTATCTATCTATCTATCTATCAAACCTAAAAACCAGAAAAAGCAAGGAACCAAAAAAATATCTATGTATCTATTAATAGGTAATTTACCTGAAAAATTATTAATTTTTCAGATTTTTTTAGCAGCTGGACCTATGTGTGCATGCTGCAGGTGGAGATGCATGCCTGTGTATACTTGCAGCTGGACCTGTGTGTGCATGCTGCAGGTGAATCTGATCAGTAATTTACCAAAAAAACACAACTCTTGTTTCTGGAGCATGCACACACAAGGATGAAACCATCAAGGGGAAAATGAAGGATTGTATAAGAACTTCTTCTACTTGGATAATGGATCAGCTACAGGACTCCTTTATCACTTTCAGCCTTGTGAAGCTGAAACAGAGGAGTTGTGAAGCTGAATCAGATTTGTCGACTTCATACCATTTTCCTAATTATTTTTCATCAGAAATACTTTTAAGGCAATAATTCCAGCATTCTCCCTTAACTTAACTTATTAACTTTACTTAACTTGCTATTTGTCCCTCTTTGCAGATGTCAAGTTCAAGTGTCAGTGGCAGTAGCTCAGGTTGGTTGACATACGTCAACAGAAATTGTCGTACATGTAATAAAAAGGTCACCATCAAAATATCACAAACCGATCAAAACAAGAACAAGTTATTCTACTATTGTAATGTTTGTGGTTTTATCGGATGGTGTTTACCTACAAATCCAGAATATGGAGGTCATCAAATTCAAAGAGACGAAGTCTCAACTGTCGGCGAACAAGTTATGACCGAACATCTTCGAGCTATGACCGAACAACAAATACAGATGACGGAACAACTTCGGATTCAGAACGCAAAGATGCAAAAGTTGATATATATGTTGTCCGTGTTGTTTGTAATTAGTGCCTTTAAACTTATGAATATGTAATAAGTAGAAGTAGATGTCAATGTACAAGTTCAAGTAGACTTAATACTTTTGTGATGTTTTGGAGGAAGTTATGTTTTGTTATGTATTGAAACCTATTTATTGTACCTCTTTTGTGGTTAGTGGAATGGAAAATGGCTTGTTCAAATTTATACACTTTCTTCAATACTCATTGAATGGACATTGTTAAATACAGGAAATTGTTGAATACAAGGTAACTATTGTTGAATACAGGTAAACTATTGAACATGGTAAATGGAATACAGCGAAACTATTTAATATACATTGTTGAATACAGGGAAACCATTGAATATACATTGTTAAATACAAGGAAACTATTGAATACACATGGTTGAATACATGAAAACTGTTTAATAAACATTGTTTAATACAAAGGACTGCTAAATAAACATTGTATATTAAATAACAAAGTTTGAATCTCAATAACAAAGTTGTAACATAACCTACAATCTCAAAAATAAAGTTTGAAACTCAAAACAATAGACTACATAATTTCCAATCTTCTCAACATCAAAGTTTCAAACTCATAATAGTAGACTACATAATATCCAATCTTCTCAACATCAAAGTTTGAAACTCATGATAATAGACTACATAATTTCCAATCTTCTCAACATCAAAGTAAACAACTCAAATTAGTAGACTACATAATTTCTAATCTCAAAAACAAATAGTTGGAATACATAGAAACTAGTCAAACAAGTCTGTAATATCCAAGCTTCCCGATGCAGAACCATAAATCGGAGTTGGAGCACTCATCAAACTTCCCTGTGTGCCACTTATGAAGTCCGATGGAGTAAGAGATGTGCCTCCAATACCATGGGCCACCTATGACAATTCATTTCAAAAAGTACATGTTAGAACAATACACTTTGGAAAAGTACATGAAGTAGTCTTTCGAATACACTTTGTAAAAGTACATGAAGGCCTCTTTGGAACACGTGCCGGTACATACATACTATTTTTTGTGCCAACCATATAAGGATAATACGGTGTTTGAGCTTGAGCTTGAGCTTCAGGTTCAAATCGGAGCAACTTAGCAGCCTGTATGTTTTGAAGAATAATTACAGATTGAAATTTATGAATTGCTTTTACATACTTCAATAGACTTTGTCAAAAACAACATTTGAATACACATTTTACCTTTGCTTTTGTTTGTTTTTTTGCCGTTGCCTTGAACCGATTAACAATTTGATCTACTTTCGCAACCTTCCGTTTCGTAACTGGACGACCTCTTCGCCGAGCAACCAAAGGACTAATCACCTTCCTATTAGTACCTCCTTGTGTAGAACCAGTGTGAATCGGACTTCTTGTTGAACATGGTAAATTACTCCCATCACCGGATTCTTCTTTCATGACTCTCTCCTTGATTTCATCCAACCCAAGGTCTACAATTCTAGTTTTGCCTTCAGAGCTACCAGCAAATTGTACAATGGCAATCAATTTTTTGTTCATCCTCTCATAGGTACTTGCATTGAAATCATTCCCAAAGCCAGTGTATGTGGCTTTGATGCATGCGTATTCTCTATCCACATCTTTTCTCCACTGGGGCAAAATGTATTTACTTGGCACCTCATTTATGCATCTTCTGACAAGCATAGCGAGTGAGCGAGCACACATAATGCCTCTAAACTCAAACAACCAACATATGCATTGAACTTCACATTCAGTTGAATTAAAATAGACAACAAAGTCCACATGCTTCATCTTCTCAGAAACTACCATCGCTTCTTGGACATTATATATAGAAATTGATCCCTTCTCTTTCACAATCACCGCCTGACAGTAAACTAATCTCTTAAACTCTCCTTGAACTTCTTTGGATTTCGCATTGGTGTAGGCTTGCTGAAATTGCTTCTCAAACTCGTATATAGTTAGGCAATCAAACAATTTGTGTCGAGACTTGAAGTCTGCTTTCTTCTCTTTCTCTACCTTATTTCTCAAGGCATTGTCATATTGTTCAACGAATTGCTTCAATGTAGTTTTTGGATTTACATATCCATCAAAAAATGCATTCATACTTTCACTTCGTTGTGTAGTTGACATGCCAGCCCAAAATATGTCTTTAACATAGACAGGTACCCATCTATTCCGCTCATCATATAGTACCCCCAACCACTCATTATCATAAAGATTGAATGTTGCAAGCATCTCTTTCCATTTACTCTCAAATTCAGCTCTTGTCAGACAGTCATAAACTGTATTTTGCATAGCCAACTTTATGGCTTCATACTGAGCATATCCTTTCAACTTTTTCAGAATTTTCTTCATGATATGCCATAAGCACCACCGATATCGAGCTTGTGGAAACACAATTTCTATAGCATTTTGCATAGGTCTACACTGATCAGTTATGATAGCTTTTGGCGGATGATTTGACATGCAACTTAACCATGACTTGAATAGCCAAACAAATGTGTTAGTGTCTTCACTAGACAACAATCCACAACCAAGCAAAATGGACTGTTCATAGTGATTAACTCCGACAAATGGAGCAAATGGCATGTCATATTTGTTCGTCAAATAAGTTGTGTCAAATGAAACGACATCTCCAAATGCTTCATAAGTCGCCCGACTCCTTGCATCAGCCCAAAACAAGTTTCTAATGCGAAACTCCTCATCAGCATCAATCACATAAAAGAATCTCTCACTATGTGCTTGCATCCTCATAAAATAACTTTGAAGTGATTCGGCATCACCTTCCCCAAGCCTCAACCTTCTAGCTCTCTCAATTTAATTTCTTGCATCTCGCTCGTCAAATGTCAATGACTCGTATACCCCCGCTTCAACAACCATTGAATGAAAGTTCGTAGACACCCTAATCCCTGCTTGATCATTAATTTCTAATCTCCTCTTCACAGGAGTAAGAATTTTCTTATTCATTGCAAAATGTCGTGAGTCGGTGGGAATCAAATCATGATTATGCTCAAGGTTAACTGTGGTTAGTTTATATCTCCCATCCTTTTGTACACTACCTCGTACCCTTGCTGTGCAACCAATTTTTGTGGACAAACATGGCTTCAGAGGGTTGACTTCTGATGTCTTTTTTCTCTGCCCCGCTCGAGAACATTCAATTGCAAAGTTTAGCAATTGCCCATCATCTCCAAAATGTTGTGCTCTATGAGCTATAGAAAATCCAACATGCTTAGCATATTTGCCATAAAATGTGTACACCTCTTCCCTTGAGCTAAAACACATACCCTTCTTAGGTTCTTCAACGTGTTCACCCTTATTTATTAAAGGATTCTCACCAACATTTGAATAAACCTCCATTTTTCCACTTTGCGTACTGAAATAACAATTAAACAAATATCATTTCCGTAACAACGCCCAAACAAAAATACTGTTTACAGATTATGGGACTAAACTTCATATTTCAGATTTTATATAAACTCTTTACAGATTATAGAACTACACAGTTTACATACTATGGAACTATTCATAATTGTGAACCAAATTTCATATCTCACATTACTTATCTCACAAAATTACTTATCTCATATTAATTTTCTCACCAACTTTCATATAAACTGTTTACAAATTATGGAACTACACTGTTTACAGATTATGGAACTACACTGTTTACTTATCTCACAAAAATGTCTACAAATTACTCATATTCAGATTATAGACTATATAACACTGCCCAAATTTCATATTTCATATTATATAACAATTACTCATAAAACAACCACAGTTAATCATAGGTCCAAAATGACAGATTATATTTCATATTATGTTTACAGATTATATTTCAGATTTCATAGGTCCAAAATGACAGATTATATTTCATATTATGTTTACAGATTATATTTCAGATTTCATAGGTCCAAAATGACAAATTGATTAGAATTAATTTCAGATTTCCTTCCTTGTACCGAATTTACAATTACAAGTAACTGTGTGCATAACATGTTTACACACAAGGAATGACAAATTGATTAGAATTAATTTCAGTAATTTACCTAAAAAACACAACTCTTGTCCAAAATGACAAATTGATTAGAGTTTATAGATTATATTTCAGATTTCAGAATTAGCATATAACTGAAAGAGAACTCAAGTTGGATTAGCATATGAAATTGATTTTTTACCTCATAAACCAGATTGATGGACAAAGACAGAGCAAAGCAAAACCAGACAGAGCAAAATTACAGGAATTCTGAGGATAGATGAGAGCGAGTAATCTGATATTGCTCAAAACAATGGCCGTTGTCCAGAATACACTTTTGCAGAAATTCCCGGCGAGCTATGGTAGAGGAGGAGGATGGTGGCGAGAGGTGAGGATAGGCGAGGGAAGACAGACGAGGATAGACGAGGATGACGGCGAGAGTTGAGGACAGACGAGGGAAGACAGAAATTCTCGCTTTTTCTAATTTTTTTTTTTTATTTTTTTTCCAACTGTGTTTACACATCAGTTGCCACCTCATCACCATGTCACTGGGGGTCGCCATGTCACTGGGGGTCTGTAGCGGGATTGATAGTATGAATTTCTTAACTTTTTTTAGTAACTTTTTGACTTTTTGACTTTTGTAATGTATGCTCACAAGCACTATGTTTGGAGACATGGGGATGCCATGGCCAAGAAGAAGCAGCAAGTTTTGTTGGACGTACTCTCTCATTTTTAATATAATGCAGTTTCTTAGTTCAAAATATATAAGTTTGAAAATTGAACAACATAGTTTTTTTTTTTTCTTCTTTTTTTTTTTTGTGAAAATCGAATTTTTAGTGGAAAATATTTTTCATTGTTTTAAATGTGAAAAACATTTTATGGAGTGAAATATTTACTGCACTACAATTGTTATCACCATTACTATTATCTCTACTACCACACATATCTGACTTTATTGTTGCCTCTACGACTACCACCTCTACCATGATATCACAACCAAATACAAAATAAGTTTTCTATTTTCTCAAAAATATTTTTTATATAAAACATTTTTTTAGAAAATTGTTATCTATCGAAACTAATGGAGCATTAAAATGATCTCTTAATGAGACTTAAACAAACAATAGTCGAAAATTAGAAAGTAAATGAAAATGACCGTCCAAATTTTCAAATGTCTTAAGTTCAAGAATTTAATGTTGTATTTAAATTTTAAATTTGTAGAGAAAAAATAAAAATAAAAGGTGCCCTTGAATTTGCAAAGGAATTTAATGTTATGTTTGCTAGAAAATTTTGAATGAAAATTTACTTCAATGATTGTATCTCTTCAGTTGAAAGGATGTGTCCTCTTTTAGGGTCACTATTCTTAGTGGATGGTTGCAACTTTTCAAAAAAATCACGAAAAAACTTATAAAATCTAGCTCCCTCACTTCAGTTTTGACTTAAAATTGTTTTTGCCCTGTTCTTCCTCTCTATATGCTTTTACTTTTCATATTTTCTTAGTGGATGGTTGTAACCTTTACAAAGAGTCACGAATTAATATATAAAATCCATCCCCCTCACTTCAATCTTGACATCAAAAAAAATATTATTTTATTATTATCATTTTTTTTTTTTTAAAAAATTTTTTTTTTTTTTTTTTTTGCAGTTCCACATTAAAATTATGTATGGAGGGGTTCAAGTTTAGGTTTGAATTCTGATAATGGAAACCCATTTTGAGTGTTGAGGAGTGGTTTTTGCAATGGTTCAACTAGCACCTGATGAAAATGCAATCATTGAATCTATCAAAGTTCTATGGTCCATTTGGAATGGTGCTATATAGAAATCCATCTGATTCTTTTCCGACTACAATCACAGAAGCGGAAGCAAGAGCTTGTTTGGAGGTTTTGAAGTGGTGGTGTCAGGACCGAAACTTACGATACCATCTTTTCAAACTGCCAAGTCCTTATTCATTCTAGAAAAATTATTAGATAGTGTCAGTGGCCTTGTTAACCTTTTTATTTATGTTAATGTAAGTAAGGTGTCGCAACAAGTGGTGCAGTCATCAGCAGAACCATGATTTTAAGTTGGATGGGGCCAAACTTAAAAGAAAAAAAAAAAATTTCGCTAACTAATAAAATCATTCTATATCTAACAAACTATAGGCATATTTTCTAACTTGAATAAAATAAAAATAAAAATTACATTGAGATTATACTAAGTTTTCTTCATCAAAAAAAGAAAAAAAAAAAGAATGGATAGATTGAAAGTACAAGTTAAAATGGATTGGCTTTGATAGAAGCTTGTTGAATCTTACCACGTTGATTAACATGATAATCTCACATGTGGACGCAATCTTGAATCAAGATCCAAAGAACTAATTACAAGGTTAGCTCGAACCACCCTAATTATGAAGATTTGTGATTTTAGTTATGAATCAAGTTGGTGCTTATTCACAAGGTTTTGTGATAGTCAAAATTATGAATTTGGATATAAGACTTGTGGTATTTTTTGTTATGACTCAAATTAGTTTTAGTTATAAGATTTGTGGTGTATGGTTCTGAATTGAAGTGGCCTTAATTATGAAGTAATGTGATAGTTTATAATAAATCAAAATGGTTTTGGTTATGAGATTTTTAGTGTTTTTGTTACAAATCAATTTGGTTTTGTTATGACCCAAATTGGTGAAACTTAGAGTTGTTGTGGTTCAAATTTTAATTATGTGATATGCCATTTTAAAGCGGATATAGATGCACTTTAATAAAGTTTTCTTTCTAAAAATATGGGGTCATTCTATACACACCTGAAAAGGCTTATAATTAAATCATTTTTAATTATAAGTAATAACAATAATAATAAATTATAACCAAAAAAAAAAAATCATAATCAAATATCACAAATATCATAATCGGTGCAAATGTTACATACTTCAAAAGGCCACTATTATAGTATTTTCCAAAAAAATAACAGTGTCTGACTTGAGGGGGGCCAGTTTTGAGGCTGTCTCAATTTCTTTATTTTAAATATAGTATATATATATCTAAAGAAATTGTTTCGAATAAATTATATAAGTGCATTTTTTGAATTTTTAGATAAAAAAGTATAAGAAAAAAATGGATTGTTTGAGATAATTTTTAGATTTTTTTTTAAAAAAAAAAAAACATATATAATAAAATATTGTAGATGCAAAGTACATTGACTTGTAACACTGTGTAGGGGTATGCATTTCAATTTTTTATTTTTTTAATAGGAATTGGTGGCTTGCATTGTGACACGTGGTAAGGACTTGGAAAATGTATATGCAAAGTACACTGAGGTGCACTGTTGGGCTGACTAATTCAAATGACAAAATTATGATTTTGTCTACTAGCTCCCCCCCTCCCCCCACTTCTCACAAATAGTATGAATTTTTTAATTTTTTTTAACAATTTTTTTGACTTTTTAACTTTTATAATGTATGCTCACAAGCACTATGGAGAATTGGGGATGCCATGGCCAAGAAGAAGCAGCAAGTTTTGTTGGACGTACTCTCTGATTTTTAATATAATGCAGTTTCTTAGTTCAAAATATATAAGTTTGAAAATTGAATAACACAGTTTTTTTTTTCTTCTTTTTTTTTGTGAAAATCGAATTTTTAGTGGAAAATATTTTTTATTGTTTTAAATGTGAAAAACATTTTATGGAGTGAAATATTTACTGCACTACAATTGTTATCACCATTACTATTATCTCTACTACCACACATATCTGACTTTATTGTTGCCTCCACGACCACCATCTCTACCATGATATCACA